TATGCATCACTTTGGTTTTTATTCTACTGTATAAAAGTTATTTACACTTAATTACACAGTATTTTGGATACCCGAGCTAGGTGGGTTATTTTCATATTTTTTTATATGACACATGTACAAGTTATAGCTCAAAGGAAAGCTCTTGCCGGTCCTTATATGGTTCTAGCATTCTTTTTACTGAATTATATTCACATATCAAACACTTGTTGAATGAATTGCGGTGTTTCCATGGCGCAGAAATGTAAACAATACATTCATGATCAATAAGCAGCCCCAGATAGCACAGACAGCTGTCATCTCTTACCTAATGCTGTGCCCTTCAGGGCCATTTCTCCTCTGTTTTTGAGGTGATGTGCATAAGTAATCCTTTTATATGTCTGATGTGGTACAAACACAGTGAATTATGTTTAACAAAAACAAAAGACTAGTGAAATATGTAAACAATGATCGGTCTCTGTGGCTTGTACAGCACCTCTCATCAGTTGGAATGCAATAACTTTTGCCTAGATTATGGTAGAGACATTTTTCTTTTTTCCTATGATTACAGACATGTGCAGGAACCATTCAAATTAATTACAGCACGCTAGACCACACAGAACCTAAAAGGTACACTTTCAAATTTGAGTTTATAAAAAATAAAATACCAAAAGCGCCTCTTTTTTTAGGTGTTTATTATAACACAGATGACATATACAGTTATTTTAAACACTTTCAATAGTGTTTTATGAAAATTCAAAGGGTTTTCTTTAAAATGATACCAAATCTTTGCATTTACACCTCTGCATGTGGATTTGGGAAGCTTTTAAATTTGGGTAGGCAAAATTCAGGCGGAAATCCCCAAATAGCAGCAGAGTTTAAGTGGTTAATATGAAGTACAGATGAATATTCACGTGCTTGAATTCATGTTAATTTCAGCGCTTCCCTCCGCTGCGCCTGTCAATAAATCTCTAGACTTTTGGCCAGCGGAGAAATTAAAATGGTCGTGCCCAACTGAGTCTGGTTCCCTCAAGGTTTTTTTTCTTCACTCTCCCATCAGGTGAAGTTTTTTTTCCCTCTCCGCTGTCGCCACTGCCTCGCATGGTTCAGGATTGGTAGAGCTACGCATCAATGAATTTGCTCTTCAGTGTTTGAACTCTCAGTAATGATTAAATCACACTGAACAGAGCTAAACTGAACTGAACTGAACTTAAACACAAAAAACCTGAACCACACTGTTCCAGTTACTATGACCATTTATGTGAAGCTGCTTTGACACAATCTACATTGTAAAAGCGCTATACAAATAAAGCTGAATTGAATTGAATTGAATCTATTCATTCATTATTCAAACTGCTCGTGGCGTTCATGACAACATGAAAAACTTTCTCCAATACTATTTGTTCCTGTTAGCTTTAATAATCAGTGGAGAAATGAATTCAGTTTTGCGCTAAGTGGGATCATTTTGACCTGCAACAGGAAGTTCATTGCTGTTTCTAAATCATGTTGCGCTGTGTCTGTTAGATCCGCAGATCGCATACACAACACTGGAGTAGCGAGGGTTAGGCCTATTACCTGCTCTTCACACACAAAGTAGGCCTACCTAAAACGAGAAATAAATGAGAAAAGGCTCAATAATAAATTTGGACAGATCCTCAACGCACTAATCTCTTTGTGCTAAAAAGAGAAAATCGCTTGCGAGTGGGATGATGGCAACTTCATAAGCATTAATAGCTGAATTAATATCAAAGAAAAACATGACATCAGTAATATGGGTATATTTTGGTTTTAAAGTCACAGACACCAAACAAAAGCAGGTATTTCCTCATGTTGTGTTTTTTTAATACCATGTTTAACATGTTTACAGAAAGATAATGCCATATTATTTGTGCTTACAGTTTGCTGTGGCGAGAAATGAGTGTTTCATTTCTGAATATTTACAAATATATTTGAATAAATGTTTAGCTTAAATTAATATCTTTTCAGTTCCTTTCTAAACTAACACTCCCTGCATTTTAGCTGTAAGAAGCTACAATACGAAAATTTTGAGCTGAAGCTTGACTATGAAATTAAAATAGAAAATCAAACCGAAATTGCAATATCGGTCAAAAAAATCACAAGTAGTAGTAGTAGTATATTTTCCCCAAATCACACAGCCTTAATGTCAACTGTTTTAAACCATTCCTGAGTGCTGCATTTGCTGTTTTTAGGTGCTCCTAATTCCGCACATGTGGTGAACATTTGGCTGTGAAAACAGGGTCGCGCTACAACAATTTTATGCACTCGCACAAATGCTCCCAAATATGTTTTGAGGTCACATATAAAATTTTGGTCGCAATTTCGAGCCCCGAGATATGGTTGCTAAATAAAATAGTTGTAAAAAAACCACAACAACTTAACAACAACAAAATACTGTAGTAACAGTATGACAGAATTTTTGCGATTTTTAAAACCTTGATTTTTCTAAACCACGGTAAACCTTGAAACCGGTTATCTTTCCATAGCTTGTCCTGATTGTGTTTTCCAGATCAGGCTGTTCATGTCGCAACGTACATATATCGCACACTTCCTCAATAGGAATCTACATCTAGGAGTTTTCAAATGTACTTTTTTTTTTTTTTTAACTAAAGAGACTAGAAAAAATCTGTAGAATTAATTATTATTATTATTATTATTATTTATAATTATCATTATTATTATTGCTATTATTATTAGTAGTAGTAGTAGTAGTAGTTTTTATTAATATTATGTATTATTATTTATTGTTTGTTTATTATTATTATTATTATCATTATTATTATTGCTATTATTATTATTATTATTATTATTATTATTAGTAGTAGTAGTAGTAGTAGTAGTAGTTTTTATTAATATTATGTATTATTATTTATCGTTTGTTTATTATTATTATTATTATTATTATTATTATTATTATTATTATTATTATTATTATATTTAAATTATAATTTTTTTGTGGAATTTTCCAAATTGTGACTGAGGACAGTTTAATGTGCTGGTCAATTTGTTTTTCGTCTAATAAATGATAGTAGGCTAGTTTTTTTACTTTAAAACTTTAAAGAGCCCATATTATACATGAAATAGGGTCATATCTTGGTTGTAAGGGTCTCCAACAACAGTCTAATATGCATGCAAGGTCAAAAAACACTTTCATGGTCTTATAATCTGCATTTATTTTTACCTAATTATCCCAGCGACTCCTGTATGAATCGTCCAGTGATTCATTTCTTCCCAAACCCCTCCTTAGCGTGAAGCTAATCTGCGCTGATTGGACCGATGACAGTCTGTCGCGATTGGTCGACTGCCTTCAGTCAGAGAGTGAAATGCCCAACAGCTAATCAGCAATATAAAAGTAATCACAGTTCATACACGCTCGATAGTGTAGGCGTGGATTTCAGCTGCCAGTGGGTCAATGTAAATACAGACGATGGACTTGAAAATACAGACGACTGACTATTTTATTGAGCAAAAACTCCAAAAACTGTCGAGGAGATCTTCTAGCTTGTCTCACTCTGCTCATTTCACAAACACAAACACACATATTGCCCTCTTCCTTGCGCGCGCGCACACACACACACAAAAACACACACACACCTCCGGACGACAACGCACGCACACGCACACACAGACACACACACTACCCTCGTCCACGGAGCTCCGTAAACAAAGCAGCACGCGTCGTGTTTTTAACGTGACTTTGCTCTCGATAAGAGAATATAGCCAGTTAACCTGATACAGTACACGCGGTCACAAGTAACAAATCACAACTAAATACATTTGCAAGCTAGAGTCAACGAGGCAACAACTTTAATCGCACGTACTTACACTTGAGAAATGTAGGAAGAAACCCATCCTGACGTCCAGCAGTAAGTTACTCTTTACTGATCCTTCCTTTAACAAACGCAGATGAAGTATTCTTTGTAGCATGTAGTTTCCAGAAGTTTCCAGTAGTTTCCAACTGCTTGGCTATTATGCTGAGGTTTCATCTTTAGGTAGAGACTCGATAATATCCATCTGCAGTGTGACTTCAATCGACCGGCATGTTTGTGTGCGTGTGTTTGTGGGTGTGTGTGTGTGTCTGCGTCTCTGCGTCAAAGGGCGGGACCTCAGGTTTGAAATCTCCTGGGTTTGCGCGTGCACGTGAATAGCTTGGCTTCGTTCGTACGTCATGGCGAAACACCTAATGACTCAGTATCAAGGCGACTCGTTTGAAGCACTATGAGTCGACTCTTTTATAGATGAATCAACCGTTTTAAACACTGTACTCTTACAGATTTAAGCCTTAGCTGGATACTTCACTTCACTTAGAGCTGTGTTACACACTACATGGAGGGGGATTTTCAAAAACCCATAATATGGGCTCTTTAACAGATTGTTTTTTTTTCCCTAAGGATATAGGATGTAATAGATTTGTATTTTAAAAACGAGTCTTGTTTTAATTTTTTTATTGCAATTTTTAGGAAATATTTAATAACACTTACTGTCTGACAACTACCTGTAAGTCAATGGAACGCGGTTGCTCCTTGCGCCACCTGGTGGCTATTGCGTGAAGCACAGAAATGTTTTTTTTTATGATGAAAAGCTTTTATAGCTGCAGTATTGCGTGTGACTGCGGTTGACAAATTGCAGTATTGTGCGTGCAGAAACGCGCATTCTCAGTAACCATGTCTGTATCATGAGTTTGTTTTTGCGCATCATGAGTACCTCCATCAACTCAATATATTCAGATCTTTCCTGTCTCACTCCCACCCTCGAGTAGGTGCTCTTTACATCAAAGTTAAATGTGTAAAAGCGCAGCTCCACAAACACACACACGCACCAGTCCAGAGGGAAAGGCATGTGAATTCTTTATGAGGCTGACCTGATTCCCGGCTGCTCCTGCTCCTCCAGTATCTGGGGCTCATTTCCCATCGTGGCGTCTATGCTTTAGCATGAGCGTGCGCTGAGATTCTCGCTCTTATACTGAGGGTTTTGTTTGTTTGTGGTGGGCTATGCCCCATTCGCAGGCGTTTCGGAGATGGGAGCCAAGCAGTCGGCGGTTGGCAGCGTTCCCTTGAGTCATTCGCCCACGCTGAAGAACATCCAAGAGGCCTATACGGATGGCGAGGACCAGAGGGCACGGCAGCTAATCCGCCTGTCCTGCGAAAATAGCGGTGGAGTGGCACCAGATGGGGTGAGTTTAACCATTTTCTTATTTCAATTTACAGCAAAAGGAAGCTGGTGGATCGTGCAGTTTACCTGTGAGTGTTTTTTTAATGCTACTGTGGTGGTCTGGCACCAGATGGCCTTTATGTGACATCATCATAACAGTGTTGTTTAATAATGTCCAGATATGTTTGAACATAATGCCGAGTGGCTGAATCATGCCAACTTGGGCATTGGAGTATGCAGGCAGCATTGTAACATGCAGGGTTGTGTTCTGTTCTGTTTTATTTGATATGTATATTTTTTAATGCATTCAATCTGTTCTGTTTTTGTATATATCATTATTTTAATTATTTATTTACTTCCATTTATTCACTGACTTGTTTATTTAGTTTCATATTTACTTCATGTTTATTTACCTACTTGTTTATTTTATTTACTTATTTATTTATTTACGTACTGATTTATTTACTTATTTACCTAATTATTAACTTAATTATTTACTTAATTCATTTACTCGCCTACTTATTTACTTAATTTTACTTTATTTATTTACTTTTTTGATTTAATTGATTTACATATTTAATTTATTTATTTACTTATTTTATTTATTTATGTACTTATTAGTTTGTTAATTTAGTTATTTGCTTACTTATTTAATTTATTTACTTATTTACTTACCCATTTACTTGTTTATTTATTTACCTATCTACGTATTTACATAATTATTTACTTTATTCATTTGCTGATCTACTTATTTTCCTATTTTTACTTTATTTATTTATTTACTTATTTTGTTTATTTATTTAATTATTTACATAATTATTTACTTTATTCATTTGCTTATCTACTTATTGTCATACTTTTACTTTATTAGTTTATTTATTTATTTACTTATTTTGTTAATTTATTTACTTATTTACATAATTATTTACTTTATTTATTTGCTTATCTACTTATTGTCATAATTTTACTTTATTTGTTTATTTATTTACTTATTTAATTTATTTATTTACTTATTCACATAACTAATTACTTTTTATTTTTTCATTTACTTTAGTTAATTTTTTACTTGGTTTATTTATTTACTTATTTACTTATGCATTTACTCTGTATTTACTTACCTAGTTACTTATTTGTTTACCTGCTTATATACTTATTTAATTAATCTATTTACTTAATAATTAATTTGCTTATTAATTACTTAATTTATTAACTTATTTACTTTGTATTTACTTACCTATTTACTCATTTATTTACTTGCTTTATTTATTTATTTGTTTACTTATTTAATTTATCGATTTATTCATTTATTTATTTATTATTTCATTTACTTATTAAATTATTTGTTTATTCATTTAATCATTTACATTATCCATTTACTTAACTGATTTTACTTTGTTTACTTCATTTATTTATTTACTAATTTAATTACTTATTTACCTTATTGTTTACTTTATTTATTTATTTACTTCAGTTACTTTGTTTTCACTTACCTATTTACTTATTTATTTACTTGCTCATTTATTTACTTTATTTATTTAATTTATATATTTACTTATTAATTTACTTACAAATTTATTTACTTATTTACTTGCGTATTAACTTTGTTTTCACTTAACTATTTACTTATTTTTTACTTATTCAATTGATTTATTTATTCATTTACCTTTTTACTTTAATAAATTGTTTAGTTACTTATTTACTTATTTATTTGCTCATTTATAATGGTGGACAACATCGGGAAAAAAACATGGTGGCTTCAGATTTATACAGCTAAAGTAGTTTTTAATGCTATTTTTAACTTAATGAATCTTATCATTTTAACTTATTAAAAAACAAAATCTGGTTTATTCAGTTCATTGTCTGTGCTCCTTTTTATCTATTTTTTCAGTTAAAACACTCCCCTTCCTAACTCTAACTAGCACTTAATTCTCTGATCACAAAAAGTTCCTCTGTATAATGAGCTCTTATATGTATTGCCCCTTCTTGTTAAATTACTGAATGCCTCCTCAATTGTAAAACGCTTTGAACAGAAGCGTCTGCTAAATGACTAAGTGTAATGTACTTAGCAGCTTTCTCTGATGTGTGTGTCAGTGAGTAAAACGTGCGCTGAATACATGCTGCAAATAAAAACCCTTGATACTTTTGACACTAAAGAGGAAAGCCTATTAACACCAAGTATCACAGCTTTGTTCACACTTGCTGCTGAAGGTTTTCACTATGTGTGAGAAATACAGTGCACACACATTAATAACCGGCTTTCACAACAGGTTTTTAAAATTGGTCTCGGGCCTCCTCCTCAAACGTCTTTATGCTCTGTGCTTATTTCAGTATTTCTGTTCAAACATGTTTCAGCCTGTAAAATCTGCTCTGCTGGCCTGAACAAGCAGTCAAACAAGATCTGTGATATAATGATTTATATCTAGAGAGACACTTGGGTTTAGATTTGCAGATGAAGTTGCTTTTTTTCCCCAAATGCGTTTTAATAGATAAATAAATAAAGAATCAGCTTTATTTGTGTATAGTTACAGTTTTTCTCAGTCGCTTTGGTGTATTTCTCACAACACTATTTACATTTGCTCAACAGGTAATGCATTTCTCAAAACGATTAGTCATTTGTGCACATCCTAGTAGCAGTTTCTCATTCCTTCCAACACATTGCAGATGCTTTTGGACATGCATCAAATGCTTTCATACAACTCTCTGCTGTTTAGAACATTATCATTTGCTTATGCCATGTCAGTCAAAATGAACTGAACTTGTGAATGCTGAATAGTCATTTCATATAAAACTAATAGTCCTTATTTAATTACTTGAGTCATTACATACAAAAATGTTGAACTAGTTGTCAAAATATGTCTAGCAAAGTTCATAAAAAAATAAAAAAATTTAAATCTTTAAATCTTTAAAAAAATAAAATAAATAAAATAAATAAAAATTTAAATCTTTATTTGCCTGAAAATGTCTCAAAAATTGAACAATTTGATGAATGATTTACAGACCTGTTTATGTTGTAGGCTCAGTTCGTTGTATTTTATTTTATTTTATTACTATTATTATTATTTTTATTTAAATGTTCTTTTTTATGATTTATGTATTTTTTATAATTTTTAAAATCTTTTTTATTATTATTGGTATTTATTATTATTATTATTATTATTATTATTATTATTATTTACTTTATTTTGTTATATTTTATTTTACTTCAGTTTTGTGAGTAAATGTTGAGGCGTTGTGTAGCTGCATATTTATATGTAATGTAATGTAATGTATTGTGTATTTATATAGCACATTTATTGTGTATGGCCATACACCCAAAGTGCTTTACAATCATGAGGGGGGTCTCTCAACACCACCACCAGTGTGCAGCATTCACTTGGATGATGCGACGGCTGCCACAGGACAACGGCGCCAGTGCACTCACCACACACCAGCTATTGGTGGAGTGGAGAGACAGTGATCGAGCTAATTCAGTGGAAGGGGATGATTGGGAGGCCATGATCGTATGGGCCGATAGAGGGACTTTGGCCAGGACACGGGGGTTACACCCCTACTCTTTCACGAGAAGTGCCATGGGATTTTTTTAATGACCACAGAGAGTCAGGACCTCGGTTTAACGTCTCATCCGAAAGACGGCACCCACTGACAGTGTAGTGTCCCCTTCACTTTTACTGGGGCATTAGGACTCATACAGACCACAGGTTGAGCGCCCCCTGCTGGCCTCACTAACACCACTTCCAACAGCAACCTAGTGTTCCCTAGTGGTCTCCCATCCAGGTACTGACCAGGCTCAGCCCTGCTTAGCTTCAGTGAGTAACCGGTCTTGGGCTGCAGGGTGACATGGTTGTGGCTATATGACCGTCATCTTCACTGTACATATTTATAACAAAACAGAGCCTATAACATTACTGCCACCTTTCATTTTCATTGAAAATACAAAGCATACCCTCTCTTTCGCTTTTTAATCATCAATAGTGGCCATTATAACAGTATAACGTACAATAAGTTTATACATTATAGGAAATAAAGGCAAGCAATCAGTCAAATGTGCGGAATCCGCGTACGTTGCTACATAAATTAAGGGTGCTTTCACACCTAAACTTTTGTTTCGGAGCCTGTCTCGCTTGCCCAGTTAGCGCGGTTTGTTTGGCATATGTTAATCCAGCAATCACGCTCTGATGGGCGCCAAATCAATCGTTCCGAGATTGCCTGAATGAGGTGATCTCGGCTCGATTAAAACGAACTCTGGAGCGGATCGATTGTAGTGAGAAATTGATATGAGCCGAGCGCGGTTATATCACAGTGTATCATGGATATACATCATAGGCATATATACGGCTATATGAAGACAGAATTATGAGTAGGGCGGGAGGTCATTCCTACTGGTAAGTGTGCGTTTCATGGTAAAGCCTATATGCTTATTTCACGCGGCCGCCATTTTAAAGAACCAAAGCGAGGCTGCGGTGGGAAGAAACCCGGAAGTATAGGACGAGCACTGTAAACATTGCAGTAACATGCCGTGTACTACAAACCTCCAGCTGTTGCCAAGATTTCAAAATGCAGAAAATGGTGTAACCATCACTTTAATATTATTTAGAAAGTTTATTTTAAACAATTAAAAGCAATTTTGCATCAAACAACATCACAATCTTAGTGATACGCTTAAGTGTCCTACTAGGCTTCAGCTCATGGCACTAGTTAAACACCGTGAGGACGCTTTCCTGCTTCAGTCTATGTAACCCGGTGACTGATAAAACACTGCAGTCCTCTGTAGCACACCCTCGTGTTGTCTGTCATAGTGTTGTCCTGGTACTGAAGTTTTAAACCCGGCTATTTCCCCGCTAACATGGAAGCGCTTCTGAGCGCGGATGTCTCGACACGACTGATCTTCACGGCTTCCGTCTCCGTGTATCTGTGTTTGGTTTGCACTCAGTTTACTTCTTCACCCAGTGCAAACACAGATACACGGACTGGAGCGCGAAGCAGCCGTCAAGATCAGTCGAGTCATCAAGCAGATCGCTCGGC